CAATCTCCAAGTCTCCAATCAGGTAAGTACCACAGTCTCGTATCACCGAAATCCAACTCTGATCTCTGTCCAACTGGATAGTCTCCAATCTGAAGAAGAAGAAGAAGAAGAAGAAGAAGAAGAAGAAGGAGGAAGAGGAGAGAGAGAGAGAGGGGACTGGCGAGGGAGAGGAGGAGAGACCCTCCAAGCTCGTGGTACCTCAGGCGGCAATGGCCGCCGTGCTGGCTCAGTCGCCCTGCTGCTGCTCCGCTCGCTGCTGCGCTATGCTGCGCTCCTGCTTCAGCCCCTGGGCTAAGTTTCGCGCATCAAAACAGTGCACTAGCACTGACCATGCCGTGCCGGTAGAGTTCCGGTAGGCCGATCCTTCAACTGAGGCGGATACCGGTACTTATACCGGAAGGCAATGGTCTGGCCTCAATGCTGCGAGGCCAGGCCAGACCCTGGACCGTCCAGATGGACGGTTCAGCCTCAATCGGCGGGCGGCAGCTTCAAGAGCGCCGCCAGGCCCAAACGAAGTGTCGCTTGGGCCTACCCGATGGGATTAGTCCAAAATCAGGCCTTTAAGGCCTGTAACCCCAAAGGTCGGGCGTTTAGGCCCTGGTGTGTCCCTCCGGCCCTAAGTCGGGTCCGGTAGGACCCGTGTGAGTCGAAGACGTAACATATGGCCTACACCCGAAAGCCAACGGTTTGGCTGAGGAGATCAACCAGACTGTGTTCCAACTTCTCCGTGCTTTAATCATTCCGGATCAGGAAACGTGGGATGAAGAGTTGTATTCAGTCAAGGGGTTCTACAACAACTCCATTCAATCTTCCACTGGCATTACGCCGTACAAGCTGCATTACGGTTGGCAAATTCGTAATCCTCTCTCCTACTTGTTCCTTGAACAGCCAAATGGTTTCACACCCGGAAGGCCTGGCTTCAGTGCCAAGTACGATCACTTGCTCAAAGTTGCCATCACAACTATGAGCAAGTGACAACACGCCATGACCCATCATGCGAACAAGAGATGCCAACCTTTGGATATTAAAGTGGGAATTTATGTTTGGGTCAAGATGATTGAATTTTCAAAAGAAGAGGGAGTGTCACACAAACTTCTCCTGCTCTATTATGGTCCGTGGAAAGTTCTTGATTTGATTGGCAAGGATGAGTTCGGCCCATCATACACAATTGCTGTGCCTCCTCATCTGCGCAGATACCCAGTCTTCCATGCATCAAAACTGTATATACATCGTGATGCAGAGTCCTTCGACTATCTTGAAGACATGATTCCTTGTGCAATCAAGGGTGGATGATCTCTACTGGATCTCCAAGAAGGAACTGCTGCGCAGCGCGCCTCACGTTGTTAAAGCCTACGAGCGACAAATAGCCTCTAACGCTGTACCTAAATTCTCTGCAAAACTCACTGCTACTGAGTAGGTAGATGTGCCGGGTACTTCAGGCCAAGCAGAAGACAAAAGTTAGCATTTTTAGAGGCCCTGTAGATGTAGGCTAGGTCTAGGCGGGTATCAGTCCAACCAGTCTGAGTGTAGGGCCTGTACGGACAATATCAGAGTCTGCAATGATGTTTCCCTCCGTAAGGGAGGAGGTACCGGTTGCTTGGAGTCCGCGCAGCCTAGGAAGTCACTCGCCGAGCGGTAAGCAGGCCACTATATCTCCAGGAGGAGCCAGTTGCTCCTCCTCATTGTTGGTGTGCAAGTTTCGCTACACACTGGTTGGAGCGCTGACTGGAGCAGCTCTAGCACTCAGCTGTGCAGCTGGGGAAGGAGCACGGACACGGAGGAGGAAGAAGACCAGGACTAGGAGCGCCAGAGGTACTTTCCTGGCTATGGTGGATGCCATCTTCATCAACTTGGTGGGCACTGCAGCAGGAAGGCCCAGTTGGGGCAGAGCTACACCAAGAAGCTTCGAGGCAGAGTCAGGCATGACGGCCTGAGCTAGAGCAGCCATAGCTGCTTTGTGTTGTCCTGTGGACGGCAGGGCGATGCCCTGGTAGTCTTCCATAGCCTCGGCATATGAGGAAGAGAGAAGGGGCGGCCATGGCTATGGTGGACCTCAAGTGATACCTGCAGTAGAAGAGGGACTCGGACATTGAGTCTGGATCAGCCATTCAACAGTGTTATTATTATTCTTGTTTGAATAAGAGGAGGAGATAAGGAGGAGGAGAGTGGTTGGCGAAGAAGAAGAGCATTATCATTGGTCTATGCTGGTGTACATCATCTTCTTCTTCTTTCTGTCTTCTTCTTCGTCTTTCCCTCTCTCCTCTCTCAAGTTCATTCAATTCTTTTTGCAAGTGGACGGCATTGTACTTTCTGATGAATGTGTACTTCGAAATTGGACAGGATCATAACAGTTGTTTACAATTTGATAGAAATGCTGTTGTTTTAGTCAATAATGGATTGCCCAATGGTATGAGAGTTTTAGGTTGTGTGACACTTGAACTGCGAAAAAAACGCTGTATGAAAATAATCTTAAGGGCACCTTATGTACTTCAAAATTTAAATTAAATAAGAAAGGCAGATTTTCAAACATGCTAAATAGAACTCTGTTTTCATTATGAAAATTTGTTACGCCAAGATTTGTTAGTAAAATTTCATTGTGCGAGGAACTGGGTCCTCGACAGGCCTAAGGGGGCCCTGTTACAGAAGTGCCCGCCCTAAGTGAAGGCGGGCCTAACAAATTGCGAGAGGCCCTCTGCTGTCAATTTCGTATTTGGGGTCCAGGCAGTTGTGACGCGCCAGTTGGTTGAGGGAAACATAGGCCAAGCAGCAAAGAAATTCCATGACCTTCCATGCCTTTCGGGAAATGCAGGCCCTGGGGAAGAATTGCAGCTTCATACACAGACAGTTGGGAGACCCAACTGAATGAGGCCCAGCAGCTGCAACCGAGGCTCAGCCTCCTGGGGCCCTCCGAAAGCTTCTGGGCAGAGGCCCAGGCCAGTCAGGCCGCCGGGGCAGGCAGGCTCTTTCCATATAGGAAAGAGCTCGCTGCCTGGGCTCTCATTCAGGCACTTGCCAGATGCTGCGGCAGCGCTGCTGGAGCGATTGCTCGCGGGCTGCTTAGCGCTAAGGGAAATGTGCTTCGTGGTCGTGCAGGAAGTAGGGCGCTGCTGAGGGCAGCGCCATAGCCCAGCCTCCATAGCTGGCTGGGGCTTGGACTACAGTGAGGCGCAGGGGTGGTTTCGGGTGTACAGAGGGAAGACGTGGGTGTAAGTCAGGGGAGAGAGAGAACGATGATGATGATACCTGGTATTGGCGATGGGCGACATCTTCAAGTACTTTGTTGGCCGCTGACGTCAACAGTCGCATTGTCAATTAGTAGGCAGACAGTAGCTGTGTAGGAAGTAGGCTGGGCACCGAGCGCCAAGTAGGGAGAAGGGACTGGACTCTTATGTTGGTGGTGGCGAGAGCAAGCTCTTATATACATTGGTTTTCAGTGTTAGGAATCTCCATTGGTGTTATATTGGTGCAATGCTGCTTTCCGGACACTGAGATACTATCTGGCTTTCAATGTGGTTGTGCATTCTGGTTATTGTCATCTAGCGGTTGCTCATTTTCCTTGCAATTGGTGTTTTTGAGTAGGAGAACAGGTGCTCCTTTGCCTGAGTACGTGTAGGAAAACATGTTTAATGAACTTAATCAGTGTAATGAAATGGATCTCGTTCTAAACCTAGGAATCTGGTCCAGACTTCCAGGGAAAAGGGCTGACATGCACATATGGTATTGTGGCGGCAGAGTGGAGGCATTAAAGCTCCAGTGACTGGCACCAGATATGACTATTGCAAGGATTTTACCCCTCGGCATACCCGCATAAGGTCCTGCAGCAGGCACGTGCCTGCCATAAGTGAAGGCGGGCCCTCTGAATTTCAATGTGCCCTTAACTCATCAATTTTTGCAAATCTTGGTGGGTGTCAGACAGTTGCCTCGCGCCAGTTGGTTACATCTGCCTTGCTCGCTCTTGCCAGCAACGTGGTCGAAGCAGGGAACACTGCACGTTTGTGCCTGGGTGGTTGGGCATGCCTAACGAATTTGGACCAGGCCACGTTCTGATCGGTCCTGGGCGCAGACACTGTGGGCAAGACTGAAGGTAATGGCAACTCGGCCTCTCGGGGGCAAGTGGAAGGCAACGTGCCCCGTCACCATACAGGCAAGGGCTGGGCTACGAGGCAGACATTCGGGTACTTGGTAGAGCAGGCGGCAGCACTGCTGGAGCGGGCGCTCGCGTGCTGCTGCTATTTGCTAGTGCAAGTGCCCGTGCGCATGTGCGGACGTGCAGGGTGTAGGGCGCTGCTGAGGACAGTGCCATAGCCAGCCCTACATAGCCAGGGATTCGCTTGGATAGCCAGTTGAGGTGGTGGTAGTCTTCGTGCACGAGGAGGAAGACTTGGGTGAAGACGACGAGGGGGGGGGGGGGAGAGAGAGAGAGAGAGAGAGAGAGAGGGAGAGAGAGAGAGAGAGAGAGATGGTGATGATGATGTGAGGGCACATACCTGGTCTTGGCGATGGTCTACAGGGTCGACATCTTCATGTACTTCGGTTCTCGCTGCTGATGTCGACAGTACATTTTCAATTCGTAGTCTGAGTTGTACCTGTGTGATTGTAGTCTGGTCGCTGAGCGCAGGGTAGGAGGAAGGGCTTTGGATACATACGTTGGTGGTGGCGAGAGTATGCTCTCATTGACATTTGGATTCGGTGCTTTGGTTCTTCGCTGGTGGAATATCAGTGCATATCTGCTTTCTGGACAGTGTTCAACGTTCTGGCTTTCAATGTGATTTTTCATTCTGGATTTCTGTCATTTCGCTATCGCTCACTCTCCTTGCACTATGATAAAGTCTTATTCAATCTCAACGTTCACCATGAACAATTTAAAAGCCACTGTCTTACTCATTATGCAGTTATGGGTCATTCCATGGAGTTTTAATTGGTACCACTTGTCATCTAAGCTCTGCTAGCTCGGTAATAATTTTGTCAATGGTGCGTTGCAGTATTATCAAGGGCTGTTTGCTGAAGGAGAATGCTTCGTCCAAATTGTATCAGTGCTGAACTCCGAGCACTCTTTCGAGGCAGGAAGCAAGCTGACTCTAAATGTCATCAAGACATTGACAAAGCTGCTGAGTGGCAATGATACTACGAAGGTGTGTTTTCTGGTGAATCTATTCCGTTGTTGTTCTGATAAGGGACTCTGCCCCGTGATCGTAGTCAAGGATTAAAAAACCCTGAAATTCTGCTCTTCCCGCCACCAGGTCTGCTGGAACAGAATTGGAACTCCGTGGACATTTAGCTCTGGGGGGTATTTGTACCTGGTGGGCTCGAAGTGGTGTGCGTTGAGCGTTGCATTACACTTTGGGGAATGGGATGAAGTGGTAACAGGACAGATCATTCACTTCAAATTTTGGTGGTGAAGATGCTTGTGGCAGTAAACGGGGCTCCAGCATTTTGCTCTGCTCTATACCGCGTACCCTTTGTGTACCAAGCTGTCATAGATGACAAATGTGGAGTCAAAATACAGCAGTGTTGAAATTTTGGATGTGTTTTCATGTCAGGCGAACATAAGGTAGACCTTTGTGTTTATGCGCGTCATGTGTTTCATGAACTTTCATCTAGTAATTCTTTTGCATTCTTCATACAACAGGTGGTTCTGATGCATGCTTTTCTGGACCATTGGCATCTAATGTTGTGTTGCATGTTTTCCCACCTGGATCATTGTATTCTGTACGTAGCTGTGGAGTCGATACGCAAACCTACTTCCAAAAGTGCAAGCTTCTTGATGTGCATGCTTGGTACTGCTGACTGGGAGACTGCACAGCTGGGCAATGGGTTATTGCAACTGCAGGATGTTCAGCTTTAGAAACTTGTGTTTTGCGATAGCATTGGTATTATTCAGATGGTGCGGGTAGCAGTGGTCTTCAGAAAGCTGAAGTCTCTTCTGCTTGTTCTTATTCGATGCATTGTTTGGCCACTATGTAGGATGCATTACAAACGGCTGGATTCTAGGAGATGAAGATTGGAAGTATGGTGCGTAGCCATTCTGTTGCATACTGCTTGCCATCTCCTGTTGTAGGCGCTCGGAAATCCAGCTCAGTTCGTGTGTTTAACTGCATTAAGCTGGGGATTGTATGCCAAGAAACTCTGGCCGTTGCGCTCAGCTGGAATCGCCAAGACACTGTTGCTGACAATGTATCAATGTGTGATGTCGTCCTCTTTGCCGCTATAAAAGGGGAAACTTATGGTTGTTGCCTTCTGCAATTCTTGGCAGGCTGTGTTCCGGAATCTTGTGGGCGCCGGATACCATACGCTATCGAAAGTAATAATTGAACGTCATCATGGATGCCCATCACGGGAACTGCTTGGAGCATTGCTAGACATGCTTGTGGATGGAAGGTTTGACGTGCGATCGAACATGGTGATTCAGGTAGCATCACCCTAACCTTCTTTTTCCCATTGCTCTGTGAAATTGGTATCTGCAATTGATACGGAGCAGTGGAACGCATGAACTCTTCTATATCTCATAATCTGACGTCGGTTTGTGAGACTTCCAGGTTTCAGCAAAGAGATTTGTCCTCTGCTTTTGTGTGTCAATGCTCGGAGTGGCACACAGGCGAACAGAAACGAGTAAGAAGTTTCTCCCAATGGCACCGGAGTCTTCTACAGGGCACGAAACCACCAATCTCTCAGTATGCTTTCTGTGTATATGGGCAAAAATGTAGAGGCTGCGTTTTTGGTATGTGTGGCTGCTTGAGGTCAGCTCAGTTTGTATACTCGCTGAAAAAATTCCGTCAGCTGTAAATGGCCCCGGAGAGACTGGTGGTGAAAGGGTAGTTATGCCATTGCTTCGGACCTCCAGTTTCTTGTTTGTGCACTCCCCTCCGTCCGGAAGTGCACATAGGAGTACCTTCTCTATTCTTTGGTATTCTTCGTGCTGAGTCGTGCCTGGCTCTGTTCCTGCCCAAAAACTTTGTAAATGCCTGATACCGTAAACTCAGTCCCTCGCCTGGTGCCAAATGGTGAAATGGGTGAACAATGGTGAAGCAGCAAATCCGTTACCCATCGATGAAGAAGCTTCCTATTGAACCTCAACAAAAATGGTGAAAGCCCAAACACACACACACAGCCAAACGCTCACGCTCGCTTACACATGAACATGCGCAGTCATGCGACACAAAAAGAAAGAAAACAAGGAACTACCACGTGCCTGCATGTGTGTTGGTTACTTGAGAGGAAGAGGAGGAAGAACAAGGGAGGGGGAGGTGAGGAGATGGTGAAGACGAGGTGATGGAGGAGGAAGAAGACGAGGGGAGGAGTTGCGGTCTGCATTTGGGTGGCAGAGATTGAAAATTTGGTGTCCCAAATTCAGTATTTTAAGGGCAATGTCATTGGCTCTATATAATGGACATGTATGTGGCGATTCTCAATTGCAAATGTCAACACATATCGTGATGCCTGTGCTTGATTCACAGTGTGGTTTGCTGATTCTGGTTGTCGGTGCTTTGGAGTGACACGTGCCCTTTCTACTCAAATCTATTCTTTACTGGGCCGCAGGGTCTGTTTCCCCGTCACTGTGCACCGAGCGTGGGCTGTTTCCTGCGTTTCTGCCCATTGGATTTTTGTTTGGATGGTCGAGATTGCTGGATTTGGCTTTTTTCTAACAGTTTGTCATATCGTCGTGGGCGCTCTGTGGATGACACGCAAATCTGCAAGGATTGAGTCCTCACATGGCCGCGGCCTCCAGTTGCCTTAAGGGGGCCCCAAGTATGTGGAGTGCCCGCCCTAAGTGAAAGCGGGCCTGATTTTTGCATATTGCCTGTGGTTGGGCGCCAGACAGTTTTACCGTGCGCCAGTTGGTTGCAAATTCCTTGCTCGGGAGGATCAGAATCTTTGAGGAAGCTTCCGGGCTCCTGGAAGCTTCGACGTGGAAGCAGGCCTCTCGGCCTATCAGAAAGCAGGGAACCCGTCACACATCGCGTGGGTTGATTGGGCGCATCTTGAAGCTGCAGGCCCAGACAACTGTGTGAATGGGCATGGGCGCAGACACTTTGGGCCAACCTGAAGCTAATGCACACACGCACGCGAACCCAAGAAGCCAGGTGCTTGGCTTTACTTTCCATAAAGGAAAGCGCCCTGCCCAGCCAGGGCACATTTGGCTGGCAAGCAGATGCGGCAGCACTGCTGCATTGCCAAGCGAGCATTGGGACACGTGCTGCAGCCAGGGCGCACGTGGGTGCTGACAGGGAGGGTTGCTCAGTGGGCGCTAGGCAGCCATAGCCGGGCCGCTAGGCGCAGAGGGGGTGTCGGTGATGGTGGTCTTCGGCTGTGTCGGGGATGCACTGTTACATGCCCAGTTGGGCGATGTACATATAAACCAAGGATCCGCAATGTGATAAAAGGGACTGAATGGACAATGCAGTGCAAGTGGAATCTCAACAAGCAATGTGCGTTCTGATACAAAATGGTGTGTTGTATCGCAGTGGAAGATTTAGAAACAAGTCCTCTGACCTGATCGGGACTTACGTCTTTCACGTAGTACAAGATAGAGAAACCGAATGCTAGAATACCAAGGACTAACCCACTCAATGTTTCAACGCAGACCAAACATACATCATGGTCATCACAAGGTGTGATAGGGCCTGGCACTATACACAGGAAGGAGGCGCCGGGTCCAGACATACACAGATGAAGAGGAGGGGATCAGACGAAGAGGAGGAAGAGGGAGATGGAAAGTCGTCAACACCAAGTCTCGTTACAAGTCCCAAATAATCCCTCTTCAAAATGTCTGAAGTCCAATAACGATTCTGGATCCAAATGTCACCAAGCTCTCTCTCTCTCTCTCTCTCTCTCTCTCTCTCTCTCTCTCTCTCTCTCTCTCTCTCTCTCTCTCTCTCTCTCGTAGTCTGCTGATGCAGTGAAGTCAGATAGCGAGAGGAAGAACAAGAACTCTCTCTCTCATATGCCAGGTACTAACCTGTGAAGATGGCGCTGTGTTGCAGGTACCTCGAAGACGAAGCTGGAGCAACGGCGCTGCAGGTAAGTCCCTCTGGCCTCTGCCCAATCTCTCTCTCTCTAGTACTACTCTAGCTGCTATGGCGCCCAGCGCTGAAGACTACAGCTAACGCTTCTAGCGCCCAGCGCTGAAGACTACTGCTAACGCTGCTACTACTCTTGCAGCGCTCCTCCAGAGCGCTGCTGCCGTATCCCGAAGACTACCTCCTGCCTCTATAACTGCACGTGAAGTGCTTGGGAAGTACCTAGGAACTACCTACTGGCCTGCAGGGCGGGCCAGTCCTATATAGTGGTAGTAGCCCTTGATAAAACGCTGGTAGTAGCCGACAAGACCAAGAAAGGAACGAACATTTGTGACGTTCCGTGGCTCCGGCCACTCTTGGATGGCTTGAATCTTTTTCGATAGCGGACTGATGCCCTCCGGTGTGACAAAATGGCCCAAGTATTCCAGCTCTTGCCGGACAAATTCGCACTTGTCGCGGGTGACCTTGTACTTGGCGCGGCGGAGCGTCTCCGACACTCGTCGAAGGTGCTCAAGATGATCCCCCAATGACCGGCTATAGACGAGAATATCGTCCAAGTAGACCAGCACGAACCGGTCCAACATTGCACATAACTGGTTGGTTATTGCCGCTTGAAAGCTTGTCGGGGCGTTGGTGAGGCCAAAAGGCATGACCACCCACTCAAAATGCCCATACCGCGTCTTGAACGCGGATTTGTAACGATCGTTCGGTCGGATCGAGATTTGATGATATCCCGACTTCAAATCCAACTTAGAAAAATACTTTGCGCCGCCCAATCGCTCAAGAAGATCGTCGATGCGAGGAAGACGCCCCACATTCTTGACGGTTTGCGCATTGAGCTTGCGGTAGTCGATGCACAATCGTAGATTTGTGTTCTTCTTCCGTACGAAGAGAACTGTCGCTCCGTATGGAGAGCTACTAGGGCGGATCCAGCCCTTGTCCAACAAATCATCGAGTTGTGCGTGGAGGACCGTAAGCTCCTCCTCGCTCATGCGATAAATGCAACCTTTCGGCGGCACGGCACCGGCCTCAAGAATGGACCTCTACTGATCATCACCCAAGAGTCCCTGGGGTCCTTCCCTGACCACTCAGTCTCTAACTCTTCTAGGGCCTCAGACACATCTCTCCAACAGAGCGTCGGTGGGTCTGAATGTGTCTGCGGGGCGATGTGTGGGTCACTAGCCTTGGCCAACGCCTGAAGTGGGGAAGGCAACGTTACCACTTCAGCGCGAGTAAGAGCGGCTAACACTCCTACTGGCCCGAGGTGTTTCCCTGTGAGCTGCTCGCAGAAGCACTCCCAGGGTTTGAAGATAGACCCACCACCGTTGGTGAGGCTACCTTCGTTGCGACTTTCTTGCCGCGGCAAGTCCTGGACGTGTGGCCAAAGTTGCCACAGCTCATGCATGTGCCCCTAGCAACGCGGTCACGCCACACCTCGTATTCTAAACCAATCTTCACCCATGCGAGTGTTCCTTGGTCGCCCTGACCCGTGGACCGTCCTACCTTCTTCTTCCCGGTCCCCCTAGCCTTTTCCTTGATGGGTGCCACGACTCCACCATCTGAAGTCTTACCACCCCCATCGTGCTTTGTGAACTCCCCAAGATCTGAGTAGTCGTCAATCTCCATCGTTTGACCATCGTGGTCAACGAACATTAACTGACCCTTTTTCTTTCAATCTTGGGGCAGTCTCTTCCTACCATCGTTCGGTGCTTGATGCGCAGATCCCAGCTTTGCCTCGATGTCCAGAGCTTTCTTACTGAAAGAAGCGAAGGTGTGCTGTTCAACATAGGCTTCGTCAACCAGCTTGGTCCTTACCTCTGAAGGTAGGCACCTAAGGTAATCCGTTAGGAGAACCTGCTGGTCAAAACGCACACCAGGTACCACGATTAGTCATTCTACTGCATCCGTTAGCTCTCTAACATTCTTGAACCTTCGGGAACAAAGACTGTTGATAGCGTCAATGGCCTTCTGAGCCCCTTGAGGGTCATGTCACCTGTTGTACATGGACCGTATGAACTCTTCCAATGTTTGGGATTGTGCCCAGGCATCGAAGTTTTGACCGTAGCCCTGTTGCTGCACTAAGCCATTTAACCAGCGGGCTGCTGATCCTTCTAAAAAGGAGGCAGCCACTACAACTTCTTGCTCTGGCCTTGTGAGCTTATGCCTCACATAAGTAGGCATAGTTCTCACCCAAGTGTCCAAGTCTTCCTCCTCCTCCTTGTCTCGAGAGAAGAGCTTGGGACTCATCAAAGCTATCTTGGGCATCCATTGCATAGGTTGCATGGGCCCAGGTGCTTGTTGCAGCGGCTGCATAGCCACTGAAACAGGCCGTTGCATACTAACTTGAGCCTGGCTTGACAGTGGGACTGTAGTGACCACTGTCGTAGATGGT